TTCTATTACGTCTTTTTGCAATGTCATTTTGTTCAGGTATATATGACATGGTATATAAATGTCGTATACAATTCTCTTTACAGAATTCGTCAAAGGCTTCATATTCACCACCCCTATCATTATTCAAGGCTTTAATTGGTCTACCCAATTGTGTTTCTACTTCCTTTTATATTCTTTGAATCTATCAAGTGCATCATACTTATGTTTGATTAAATAGACATGACCAAACCTTGAATAATTATTAGTAAAGGTTACAAAATATTCCATTCCACTATGAGTTTTTGTTCTTAAAGGTCCACATATGTCCGAATGGACAACCTCCAATAAATCCAAAGACTTCCAATGTTTGTTAAAAGATTTTCTAGTCATTTTGCCTTTAACGCATGACTCACAAATAGCAAAGTCTATTGTATTCATTTGAGATATAAGGCCCAATCTACTCATTTTGAGCATCTTGTCCTTATTGATGTGACCTAATCTTAAATGTCATAGATAGAAATTATTTTCACCAGTTGAAACATTCATGTACTCAGAATAAGAAATTTTATTACTGTGGAGAAGGTACATATCTTCAACCCTTGAACCTTTTACAATGACATCATCATCCTTTCAGATGTAAACAAACCCTGACTTGAACCTTACATCATAACCCCTTTTATCCAATACAGACACCGATATAAGGTTCCCTCTAACATTGGGTGCATACAACACATTCTTAAGAATCAAGACTGACAACTCACACTCCATTTTGCAAGTTCCTTCTCCTAGGACATCACAATATGTATTATTTCTCATGTAAATACAATGCTCACCTGGTGCCTTTTCATTGATTTATGAGAAGCTCCCTTTGTCCCTTGCAATGTGTCTAGTTGCACTAGAGTCGATCCACCATTGTTCTTTTGAATCTTCAAGTAGCATCGCTTCAGAAATAGTCATAATTGACTCCTTTTGTTTACCCTTTTGCTTATTCGGACACTTTGCTTTGAAATGCCTTATTTGTCCACAAGCAAAACACACCCCTTTGCTTTTGTAGTTGAACTTTCTAAATTTGAACCGTTGCTTTCCATTTTTCTTCCACTTCCTTTGTTTCTTTTGTTGCACTTCCAATTTTGATCCAGATGCCTCAGCGATTAACAATTTTCCACTATCAGTATCTTTTCTCTTTCTATTCTTTCGTTCCTCCTCAAGTGCCAATAATGATGGTAATGTGATCATAGTTAAATCTTTTCCTCCATAGGTCAAATAAGTAACTACATGATTCCATGAATCTGGTAGGCCATTAAGAATAGTGATCACTTGCATCTTATTAGTAAGTGGATGTCCAACAGTTGATAAATCCTTTACAAGTAATTCCATTTGAAGTATATAATCCACCACTTTGTCACCCTCGGACAAATGCATCCCATTAAACTTATCTAATAGCAATTGTATATGCGTATCAGATACAAGACCATACTTGGTCTCGAGTGCATCCATAATTTCCTTAGCAGTTTTAAAATCTTCATAAAGGGGAATTAAATCAATCTTGCATGCTAAATAGAATTGAGGTTCGGGCTAGATCATTATCTTCCTCCCACCAATTTATTTGTTTAGCAATTATGGGATCTGTAACATTTTCTTTGGGTTTTGATATGTTGACTATGTAATAGGTTTTCTCATGTGTGAGCACGTAAGTGATTTTACGCTTCCACATACAATAATTTATACCGTTCAATTTTTCTATCTTAAAAATATCCACACCTCTTTTACTAGCCATGAGAAAAATTAATAATACTACTAACTGCTTTAACTGTGAGGAATGTTTAATGCAACACTGTATACTAGCAACAAAAATAATACTAAATATCACCACTATTTTATTTGAAAGTAAAGAAACTGAAAATATTACTTATCTCTCTAGAAATCGACTAGAGTAATATTGATTCAAATATCCACGTCGATAAGCCTTCTTGTTGTCTAGAGAAATATACTTTTCTTTTGACTTGACAAAAATAATTTGACTTCCAAAACTGTTAAGGAATTGTGTAGCAGAACCTCCCCTTACAAGTTCTCTAGAGATTCTTAGAGGTTGTGACCCCTTAATTTTGCAATTAGAAGTTATCTCTAAAGTGACCAAATCTGGAATTGTGAAATTAACGCACTTGTCGAAAGGATGACGCCAATAACAAGGTATCCGAGATTTTAATAATGGCTTCTTTGACACAAGAGCGATTTGAACTGAGGAATGACCTTCTTCAAAATTACCAAAAACTCAATTCTCAAACTGTAATTTGATAGCACTCGTAAAATGGAGTTCTTCGGTTTTTGAATGGACTAAATCAGAGTCCGATTGAAGAAGATATGACCTTTCAAAATGTACTAAATTAGTTTGAACCGGTTCAAAATTAAACCGGTTTGGAAAAGGGTCCAAAGGAACTGGGGTGGGCTGGTCCAGCAGGTGGGCTTGAATTAAATCAGAAGGTTGCAAACAACTGACTGGATTGTGCTTGGACAAAACTTGGGCCTCAATTAAATCAAATAAGATTTGTTGGGCTTGTTGGGCTTGAACCAAGTCAGTATACCCTATTTCTTTACAACAAAATGATGTAGCCTTATTTAAATGGCTACAGTTATCTTCTTCGATGGAGACGAAAAGAAATTCCGGCAACGTACAAAATCCGATGAAGTGCTTTTTCTCTTTAATCCTTGGGTATTTTCGCTCAAAATTTTGCCAGAGTGATCCTTGCACAATCCTCTTCGACTTAATCTCAACCAATATTGAAGATATTTAAATTTTGAACCGCACAATTTTTTCGGGATACCAATATTCCTCATAAAAACCTTGTTCTGATACCACCGTTGGTCCCAGACATTATACAAGCGGCAGTAAAATGTCGTTAGACTATTGATCATGTGCACTAGGAGAGAAAACAAATATGACGACTTGATAATTTGATCGGAAGTTTTATGAGAATTTTTAGATGAAGTCTTTCGTGATTAAAGATATATTTATAGACTTTCAATGGTTACCAATATGCAACGGTTGTAGCCGTTGCCAAGCGTAACCGTCATCAACCGTTTCCTCTCTTACCCGTACACGAAAAACACCACCAATTAATTTCTTCACTGACTTACAAATGATGAATGATCCATTTTTGGTAAACTCGATTAAAGTTTTACCCATTTTGTAAGTGTATAGTGTTATTACGTTTAGTGATCATTCTTTTATCTTATAGTTAATGTTGTTGTAGTAGTTGGTAAAAATAGTTGTGTTTATACAAGATTATGGTTAATATTTTTCGGAGATGTTATGCCGAAATTTTTTATTTCTCCCATTTTGTAAGTGCATATAGTATATATTTTGATTTGATTCAAATATATAATCCAATGCTAGAATATTTGAATTGGTCAAATCGTAATTTTTTCTGATTTATTGAGGTAGAGTTGATTTAGAAGTAATTTATGTCATTTTGTTATGTGATAGAAGTTGCTTGTGACTAAAAAATTTAATGGATTATTATAAATTTTTGAAAAAATGGTTGTACTATACTCTTCTATGTTTGGATTGTCACATTTTTATCTATTGTTATGATACAATTGATGTGGTCAGTATAGTTTTGAGCCGCTTTGAATACATAAAAGGTGCATGTTTATTTTTTAACCATTTTCATTTTACTTGGTTTTTTGTATAAGTGACATAGATTATTGTGAGTTTTGATTTAGTATAGACAACACAATATGGTTGGATCGATGCAATATACAATTTAGTTGTTTAATTAAAATTTTATAGAAGGTGAATTATGTAATTAATATTTTACAAATTTCTAATATAGATCGATAGTTTCTTGCAATTCCATTTGTAAGAAAAATTTTGTCCAAATTTTGTATAAAAAAATAGTTGATTAAATATTGAAAATAGTTGATTAAATATTGACTATTTTTCGTTTAACATAATATAATGCCTTGAGGCTAAGGGTGTCAAACGGTTACGTGTTAAATTAAATGGATGACAAATAAAAAATATGTAAACCCGTATGCAACATATTTAATAAACAAATAAAAAATCTAAACACAAATACAAACTATTTAATAAACAAATAAAACAATACGACTCATTTAACTCATTTAATTTTGTTAAAATTTTAACCTACAACAAAAAATTATTTACTAAAATTTTAAACTCCATTAATTATTCACACAAATTGTAGTCTCTTAATTAAAAAATTTTCAAATGACTACCACTCGCAAAGACGAATGAGAAGATTTAATGACTCAAGGAAGCGGAGTTGCATCATTTTATAGGCATGAAAGATTTTCTTTATTTAAATTTATCGATGCGGGACTCAAGCCAACATTCCATTGCATGCGTCTGTGTCTATTCCAAGACCTCTAAAATTGCTTTCTTGCAAGAACACAGAGAGCATTAAATACTCTCCAAGAGTGATTCTTCAGCAGTCAGTGGGGTAGCCACTTGCCCCCTTTGCAATTTTGAAAAATCTTCGGGTCAACTTCTAATTTTGAAAAGTAAGAAAATCTTGGTCTCCAGCTGTTTGGTCAGCAGATGATTTTCTTTAGGTGGTCCAGTGCACAAAATTCACGCCATGCCACTTGATCAGTAGATGATTCTTCTTTGGTGGCCCAAATCCACAATATTTGACATGAATTTGTCGCAATGATCAAATTATGACAAATGCATTTATTATCATTGATGTACAAGTCAAAATATGAATTAGTAGTGATTAAATTCTTTTAATGGTTTCACGTGAAAAACCCATATGAATATAACTTTTACGTCCAATTGAACTATGAACTATGAACTATGAGTTAAAAGTCCATTGACTTACGTTTGGCCCAAGGCGGCCAGTGCTCCTAAGGTCATAGAAGCAATGTTGCAGAAAAATAAGATTTGTTGCAAATATAGCTCCATAGGAACCATAAATAGAAACACATGAAATATTAACAAAAATAGAGATTTTAGACGCAATAGAAATGAATGTTGTAACTGAGGCGGGTGAACCCTCATAGAGGCAAAAAAGATATGGAATTCAAAGGGGAGGGGGGTTTTCTTCGGAGCTCGAGAGCTGGAAGTTCAATGGCTTATTAGCATCTACAATCACATGACATGCATAGTTCGAAGGCCAGAGCCAGAGGTCCTCTAGAGTAACCATTTGGACTACAACTTTGCTGGTACTAATAGCCATTTGGACTCTTCACAAATTAAGTTGGTTCACTTACTTTCACATGATACTAAAAGGGGCCAGAGACCAAGATACCAATTGGTAGGGTATTACATGATTTTCTGTACATGAAGCTGTTGATTGGTAACTAATTTCTCCAGAGTAGCAGGCTTGTCTGTACATGATGCTGCAAGTTCTTTAGCTACGATCACTCAATTTCATTCTTGATTGAAAATAGTTTTTCTCCTTCTGATTCCAACTAGTTGAATCGGTGAGGTCCTGTAACTTCTTCCCTCATTTCATCAATTTTGCTACTTTGATGCATCAGACCCGACGAGTGGATTGTGACTATCAGGTTCTACCTCTGACTCCTGATCTTCAAAATTGTATGGGAAATTTGTTTCCAAGTGGAGATTGCCAGTTGAATTGTTGATGAATTCTTCAGCATCATTATCACTTTCATATGTCTTGAGGTCAACCTCATCTCCTTCCTCCTGTTAACAATAGATTTGAAAAATGTTAAGGAATAAGAAAGAACCAGTAGCGTCCACAGAGAAAGTGAAAAGGAGAAACCTCGTGATCCTCATCTTCAGTAAGATAAGCAGATTCTAATTTGTCATACAACTCCTCATCTCCACGGTCCCTCATGAGTCCCATTTGTTCCTACAGTTGTGTAACATAAGACATAACAAGATTTGAGTGAAAAAGAGGAAACTTAAAATAACTTCTTGACTGCCTTTTAATAGGCACTAGGCAGACCCATAAAGAAGATAGTAAAATCAAAAAGAGGCTGTACAATTTCGGATCTTAGCTTCTCCACACCGGTTTGCAGGGTTGAAATATGGTTAAGGAGAGCCTGTTCGCCATAACAATGCAACAGAAGTCAGGACATAAATTCATCATTACATTTCAAGCACGTGAAAATTCACCCAGTTGACATAAAACAACGAGAGCAACCCTTAAAATCAGTTTCAGGCCCAACTTAAAATTTGAAAAGGAGGTAGGCATAACCATTGACGTAGGCAGTTGATATTTCATCCTGAAATTATTATTATTATTATTTTATTATTTTTTTTCCCTTACTTTTAGGCAAGATACAACAGGGTGGCCCCTAGGTGGTGGTGTTGCTTGCCTACCAATCATTTCATGGCGCATTTTATGAGTTACGACTTAAATTACAATGATGTGACATAACATTAAAACCTAGCACAATATCTGGAAAGAAGAGTTTTTGATAAATTGTAAGAAATACCTCACGCCTCTGAAGCTCAATTGAACGTGCCAAAGCTTTTCTCTTTGTTAGAAGATTTTTGGGCCTCAGAGCGCAAGGTCGCTTGTAATCCTTACCTCGGAATACAACTATGGCATATCCCTTAGAAACTTTGTCCACAGATACCAAAACACCACCGCTCTCAGCTTCGAGGGATAATGCAATTTTTGTGACCTGATCAAAGTTTTTAGCTTTTACTATGATTTTGACCAACTCCCGGTACTTCCAGTGTAAGTGCATGTTCTCCACTGTACCATCAAAAACTCCACGCCTACCTGAAACACTAATGCAGCAATTCATACTCCGCAGAAGAAACATGGAAACTTTGTTAGGTAGTGAGTTTCCTACCAAGAAGTAAGAATGCTTTCATCCTTAAACCAAGCTTCCGAAACATAAACCTCTCCTCATCAGTTATGCTGTCGGGGTCCGCTTGGCGATCTGCCGGATTTAGAAAGTCTTCCACCTTAGATAAGGTCCGTTCTGCTTTCATTAACTTCCGCTCAGCCTGTTAGGTTTTATACCCTCAAAAGTCATTCCATGAAAATCTCGAAATGGAGACCCAACAAATTTGCGACATTATTTCTTTGATGCTTGATACAATCAAACTAAACCTCAAAACATGAAAGGGAAAAATGGGATTATTTCTGGAATTTGCATTAAAAACAAATATTATAATCATATGACAATACAGCTAAAGGAGAACTCACTATGACATAGTGGCAGGGGGAAAGAATGTTGCCTTTTACTACTTGAAGCCATAAAACACAAGCAGTATAAACACAGAATCTTTCATAGCAAACCTAAGTTTTGAAGAACTTACAAAAGCAAGCTTCCGTTCAAGTCTTTGGAGAAGGATGGCATGCCTCTCTACTTCTGCTTCTATCATCACCTTTTCCTTGTGATGATCATCCATCCTCTTTCCCCACCTAGCATCTGCATCCAAAGTTTCCTCAAGAGTACCGGCCATTCCAGATTCATCAGTTCTTTCAACGCTTGGTATAACCAAGGCTGATGCTCTCAACCGTGCTTGCTCTTCTTCATCTTGCAAGGCCTTTGCCAAGCTCTCCTTTTCTAGTAATGCTTCAGCAACATCTGGTGACAAAAAGTTCTTCCCTCTGTAGAACACTAGGAACTCCTTGTTTCTAGAGAGAAGCACACCCTCAGTTAATTTCTGCATCAAATAGCCAAAACTACCAGATAAGTAACAGTAAATTGAGCCTTTCACATGTGGATGGTGTGAATTCTGGAAACAAGAGAAAGAAAATGTGGTTCAGAATCTCAATTGTTTTGATTTTTTAAGTAATCTGTATAGCATTGTTTCTTTCCAATTTAAAATGCACGACTTATCCAAAATAAGTTCAGTTAAGACTTAAGAGTACTGTGGAATTCAGCATTAGCTTATTCATGTATTGCTATGGATCACTGAGTATGTCACCAACAACAATTTAGGGTGTTTCTGAATAAAGAATGGATTCTATTCATCACCAGAATATAGCTTGCCGTGTACCTGGCAATGTTAAGAAGCACAACCCAGTTATTGCAAAATTTGCTATAGATGTATTTCATTAGCGTATTTGACTAGAACAGAAAACGGGCAGTCATCAATTTCACTTTTCCTCTTCTTGCAATGGTGACTTATGCCTTGCATTATGATAGTTTATCCTTAATGTGCAATTGAAATATTTAAAAGCTTCAATAATAAGTGTTGTACAGGGGTTTATAAAAGAAATGCCAACATAAGGCAACCAAAATCTTTCTAATCCGATCTAGAAATACATTTTCATTGACATTAAATTGAGCAGAGTCTTAAAATCACAACCGAAGCTCTCTATAGTCAATTGTATACTTACCAATTCAAACAAGCAAACATTATGGAGAGTAACACCGCACAACAAAATTTTGAACAAGAGATTCCAAGTTTTGGAAGCTGCAGCCAATTAAAATTTTTTTTCCTGGTTTTTCCTTTTTTTTTTGGGGGTGTGGGCATTAGGCAGTTATCATGTCCTATTTAGGAGATACATTTCAGCATCCCAAAAGGACAAAACACAACAAAATATGATGAAAAAGCAAAAACAGCAGTAGCAGCTGATATATATTCATCATACATAATCCAAGGGATACACATGACCCACACGATTTGTGACTTCATGGAAAGATTATAACAACAATCATCACTAAGCAAGGGACAAAGAATAACTCCACATTAGGACCTTTAAGAATACTCGATCTCAAACAGGAGCCATCCCTTTTCATCCTTGTCTAGGAGATGCTTCTAACAAGTATCATTTTTCACATAAACAAGCAGCTCACCCACTTGATCGGAAAGAACAAGTGATTCATAGAGCTGCTTGACCAAAATTAAAGTGCACATTGCAAATAACGAGCTCCTTAGCAAAAATCAATTTTTTTCCCCATGCTTCAGAATGTTTTGGCCAATGTTTTGAAATGTCTCGAAATCAAAATTCTATTTTTTTTTCTCTGGTTTAATTATTCAACATTTCCAAGTTAAATGAAAATTCTGCACCAAAACGAAATTGTGATCCTTGATCATTAAATCCGAAACTAACATTTGGAGGAGAGAAGGAGGGTCACCATAAGGGCCAAGTAGAACACCCCCTACAACCTATTCGATTTGTGTGTATTTTAGTACCTTGATATCTTCAGCCATTCTTTCACTTGTAGTTAGCTGGACACCACGTTTTAGAGCAATCTTCGCAATTGAACTTTTTTCCCATAACTTAATCATGGCCACAGCTAAACCTTGGTGCTGCCGGCTTCGACCTGTGATACAAAAGATGAAACCACGTCAAAATAACACCCTAAAAATCTTATGCATGCATGTTATTCCACAAGAATTGCATACCCAATGCAAAGTGTGGAGGGAGAACTCTGGCAAGCCTTCGTAAAGCTGTTGCCTCCTTTGTTCCAAGGGTAGATCTCACTCCATAGGGAAGAATTCTGAAGGGAGGTTGGTAACCGGGTACAATACCAGGGAGCAAATCTGCATCTACAGGTAACGGATCACATCCTGGCCAATCTGTGTATCTAGGCCCCAGCCCATCTAACAGCTTGTCTACCTCATCTTCATACTGAACTTCAGGTGCTGAATTGGTGTTCTTTTTCTCCTCAACAGAAATTCCAGACTCGGATAGAGGTGCATGCGCATCAGCAGAGAGACCAAGCTCTGAAGGATTGCTACTAATTCTATCCACAATTGTCAAAGGGGCCTTATGAGACATCTCATTCCTGTTATACATCCGTTTGTTCTGTCGTTCTGAAGGATTCTCATAACTTACACCCCTATACAGAGAAATAGAAGTGCCAGACCTCCATACCACCAGGCCACCAGTTTTCCTCTGAACAATAGAAGGCGACATCAACAAATGGATTGACAACAATCAGGTATAAGAACCATCAGAAATAATATCTCTTATTGGATAAATACTTTAAAGAAGTCGATGATTATACCCCAGGTAATTAGTTGCAAAATTTTAAGTCAAGAATCTACAGGAGGAAGAGAGAACAAAACAAATTGAAACTTCCAAAACAGATCTTCTATTTGCTACATATTTTACACGCTTGTTTATTTTATAGTCCTGTCCAGAAAACTTGGTAAAAATATACTGTATGTGCTTATTTTAACTATCATGTGTGAGAAACACTCACCCACAAATCTTGACAGGAAACTTAAAGCCAATCATCAAAACATAAAAAAAAAAGGATATATAGCACTTTTGGTCCTTAAAGTATGCATTTTTGTCAGTTTAGTCCTCATTGTATCATTTTTGTCAATTTGGTTCTTAAAGTATTCAATCTGTGTCACTTTGGTCCCTAATCAAACAATCCATTAAGTTTTTTGACGGAAGTGACCGCGTGTCATTTTTTCAGATGGTATCAGGTGCGCAACATGTAATCATTCCATCAAAACTTAACGGTCCGTCTATGTTGGGCCAAAACGATATGAATTGAATACTTTAGGGACTAAATTGACAAAATTGATACAATGAGATTAAATTGACAAAAAATGCATATTTTAGGGACCAAAAGTGCTATAACCCAAAAAAAAAATTAAGGGCAGTTCATAACTGGAAAAGATTGCTGAAAGTATGGGATTTTAGGGTTTAATAAGGTGCAAGAAGGGGTTTGGGTTATGGGAATTGAATTAGGGAAAAAAAAAGACTGCTCTCAGACAGATAGTAACTTTGGGATTTATTGGCTCTTTTGGGTTGCCAGGGTTTAATTTTTATGATGGAAATGCCTCGGCTTACTTTGCCTGTATGCTAAGGGTAAAAAAGAGGAAGTTTCAGATACTATAGCAGTTATCTACATGAAGAAACGAGAATAGAAGCGATGTTATACTCTCACAACGGTTAGGCAAAACACACATCATAATGCAATATGCTCCTATGAATAAAATGGTTACATAGAGATTTGTGAGCTGCTTGGTTTCCATAATCCCACCATGACTATGTTTCAAAATTAGGTAATCTGGACTCTCAAAGTTTTCAGAGATCTTTGTATTGGAGTTTAGTTGTATATATCTTTTGGGCACTTCTTTTGTATAAGTCATATGTGCATGGGTTACTAGCCCCCCTTTGCCAATTTTTTGATAAAATTGTTTCTCCAAGTGGACAACAAAATTTGAAAGCAGATTACTGCACCTCCAAAAGTGAGACTAAAGCTAAAAACTCAAGAAGTAAAACACTTATTTAGTGAAGCTCAAATTATTGTAGGTGAATTTAAATTTAAGACAATGTTGAACTTAATGGAGAATTTGCTGATGTAACAAAAACTGGAAAGGTAGGATCATGTTAATAGAATCTAAACATGGACCTTCCGAACTTAACACTCTCATGCAAAGAGAAAATAAACATTATCAGAAAAGGGTGGCATCTGCTTGAAAGAAGAGAAACCAATCATGAAAAAATATTATCAATCAAAGAAGTATTGACTGACCAACTTCATAGCAGGTCTTAATGACAAACCATTTACAGCATTACATATTTGAAAATTGGTGATGCTTTCCTGGTAGCTCTGTTTTGGACTTCAATCCAAGTGGAGGAGGGGAGGGAGGAGTCCTCATAATTGGTGAAGAAATGTAATTTGCTCTTCCTAGTCATTTTTTTTCCAATTTAAGAGAGCAGAAGCTTTGGATGTAACCCAAAATCCATAAGATCAGTCAGGTGAATAAAGGCCAGAGGCAAAAAAGTGCCAGACATCCAAATCACTAATCCACCATTTCTCTGAATAACGTAAATGTTAAATCAAAAAGAGGAGTGCAAAAAAATGTTTTTGGAGTTTTAAAAACTATAAGAAACTAGAAGGCAATCATTATGTACTTCAACGAAAAAATAGGTTCTTTCCAAAAACCATGTGCATCAAATTTAGAACAAGTTACGGCACTGCCAAAGTGTAACTGGGTGAAGATATGTACAAGAAAACTCAACAGGTGAAGTTCAAGATAATCTAATCAGGCCTCTTCAAATGAAGCCAAAGCTATGGTCATTTCAAAAGAATCCACATTTGGGCCTTTTTATTTAGAACACGACATCAAAAAGAAGACAAACCACTAAGGGAAAAAAACTTGGCATTTGATGAGCATTATAATTAATTTTCTTCCAACAGAAACTAACAGGGCAAGCAGGTTTGATGGCAGACTTAGCTGACCATTCCCAACAAGCATTAGATCGAAATCTCATGAAGGCATTGTATAAAAATCTCGTGAGTCGTGACCCAACAAGATGGCCTCAATTGCCTGGACTCTACCAAGGCGAGAAAACATCAGCATCACAGATACTCTTATATGTAACAGAATGATGTATTACTTCCAATCCACTGACAATATATTCATATCTACATTCTATGTCATAAGTCAAGCAAGAACAGTTTCAGTTTGTTCTTAATAGACATTCAAGTAAAGGGAACAGAAGCCTTTGATTACAGCCCAATTTGATATTCTGAGGTTCATATGGAAGTTGAGGAAACGACACATATTTGTGGATGATCAAGTCTCCTTTGAGAATAAAGAGAGGCAACTCATGTTTGAGAGAAAAATTGCAACAATTTGGTTCATCATTGGAAAGATTGAAGCAGATATTATGTTGTCCGTGTTTGATTTATTACTAAAATACTCATTACTAATCCAGAATGAACTGTATATTCATAGGCTTCTTTGACATTAAAAGACAACACAAAAATGAGAAGGTAGATAATAACAAGTTTCATAACAGGCTCACCTCCAATATCTCATGCATTCGCTTCATATTAAGTGCAGGAGCCCCCTCAATTTTCAATCTCACGACCTCTGATGATTTCCACTTCTCATGAACCATATCTACCACCTCTTTTGTAACACCTGCACCACTAACCCTTGTCTTGTGCTTCGTCTGAAGAGCCAAATTCCTCAGCCTCCTCAACTCTGACTCTGGAAGAGTTAATTCTGCCACAGAAGTCCTACTCTTCTGCCTAACTGAATTCCTCTTTTCCTCGTCCTTCACCACAGGCTTCTCCCAGGGAAACCTGATCTCCCTATCACTCCCAAACACATTTTCATCCCCAAATTGAGATTTATCCGAAAATCCGCCTCTCGCATTGGGCAATATTCCTTCCTCAACATAAAATATATCCTCAATACTCCCCTTTTCACTCACTCTTTCCTCTACCTTCTCTGTGTTCTCATTCGCATCATCAATATACCCAAATTTCTTTAATTTCTCAACAATCCTCTCCATTGTACTACCACTACCAGCATCACTAGTACCATTTTCGTATTCCAAATCCGATAAATCCTCATTATTTCGATAACTTGTCAATGCCTGAGGTACTTTCAGCTGGTTTTGTTTATGGGTTACATTCCAGTTATCTAACCAACTAGTACTAGATGAATTCCCAATAGAATTCGACTGTGAGCTGGGTGTTCCAATAGCAGAACCCCATTTGTGTCTCTTACGTTTGAGCACAACATTGGATTTGGTTTGTTGGTTTTTCTGTGGGGACGAGTCTGAGTTGATACTGGTATAGGGTGCATAAAAATTGTTTCTTTGGAAAGGTATGGACGAAGCATGCCTGAAAAAGTGCAAGCGTCTGGTTATATGGAACTTGGTGACCGAGTTCTGGAAAGAGTCTATTAAGGTTGTTGTTGGGGGCACAAGAGCCATATACAAAGTCTAAGCAGATCCGACAGATGTATACATACAAGTGTATAACTACGGAGAGAGAGATGAATATAGTGAGAGGAAGTCTTGGAAACTAATCAAACCTGTAAGAATACTGAGGTTTTGTGCTTGTTCTGGTTCAGATTATCTTCTCCCTCTGATATCTATGGTGCGCAATATAACGAACCAAAGCAGAGAAGTACTAAATTGAGCAAGGAGTGCGTGGTGCGCACTATGAGCAGTTTTGAAACCGAGCCCCTGGGTTCGACCGGTTTGAACCGAGTGTTTTTAGTTTGGGTTAAATGCAAGAAACCCGCAGTACTTAAACTCATTTGCACACAACCACCTCATAATTTAAACTATCGCACTAAACCCCTGAACTCATGACCAAAGTGCAAAAGTGGATTTCCGTCATAGAATTTGTAAATGTCCTAAAACACCTTCATTGTTTCATTCAATTTTCAAGAATGCCCTCTTTTGAACTCTTTCTCTAACTTTCCCTATTCTTTCTTCTTGGTTGTGTGTGTGCTTAAATAACGTACTCCCTCCATTCTTAAATATCTGTCGTTTAAGGTTTTTACATAGGGATTAAAGAAGTTATTAAATAGCTCTAATATGAGTAAAAAATAATTACACAAGACTAAAATACCCTTATTCAATACGTATTAAGAAGGAAAGAAATATAAAAGGCATTTAGCCTCCACCTAATCTAATGCATTGAAAAGTGAAGGGTAAATTTAGAAGAAAAAATATTAATTATACTTTAGTTTTATTAAACGATAGACATTATGGTATCTAAAATTTAGAACAAAAACAAAGAAAAAAAATAGAACAATCAAGGCAACAAAGAACACAAATTAACATACAAATGCTTTCAAGTTTTATGGATGATGTCCACGCAAAATAAGATCGTATGCAAGTTGATATCGACTGTCTCAAATATGAATTTTACATGTCCAACAAAGAAAAACACGAGTGGAAAAAAGTGGCGAAATCCTTCAAAGAAAGCAAAAAACCTTGAGGTAAAGTTTAAGGACTTCAAAAAATGATATTTTTTCTATTTTTTTATAAATATAAAACAAATGAATCACATATGTAATCTTCCCCTTTTGTCTACTTTTGTTAATTTAGTTTTTAATTTGTGTGCCTATAATAATTTAATTTTGTCTACATGTACGATAAATATGATACGTGAATTTCCTTCTTCCTGAAGCAAAACTTCTTCTCCAACACCAATTGAGAGTTTGAAGGAAGAAAGATACTATCCAAAGTTGATAAGAGGTTTCCTTTTTGAATTTAAAGATTTCCTACAAATTAAAAAATCCAATGCAACATCTTTTTAAATTATTGTAATTTTTGAATATACTGTAATTAATTCATTTAAGGGGATAGATTCATGTTGCCCTAAGGTGTAATTTTAAACTTAATAAAGGTTGCTAAAAAAATACGTACACAATTAAAATATATTTCCTTTAAAGCTAAAAAATAATAGATTTGTAAAAAAAAAATAAAAAATAACAGGTAAGTAATATAAAAATATAAAAATAAACAGGTATATAATAATTGCTAAACATGTATACTAAGATACAGATCGTCAAATAAATAAACTGAAACACATATTATCAAATAGGTACACTAAAAATTTGATTATTAATGTATATTATTTTTCATAAATACATATCATTAAAGATGTACATTAAAACACAGATCGTCAAACAAATACATTAAAATACAAATCATTTATGTACTTTTTTTTTCTATAAAAACAAATTATTAAACAGGTACAGTAAAAATACAGATCGTTAGACGAGTACAATAAAATACAAATCGTTAATATACCTTCTTTTCCATAAATATATATCATCATTCAAAATTAATAAATAACACAACAAAAACCTCAATAACATATGAAAAAAAAATTAAATATTTTTTAAGCTGAAATCATGCTATAAGAGCACAATAGATAATGAAAATCAATAATTAACCAATTTCTTAACATTCCTGCCAACACAACGACTGCTTTTAAATTTTTTCAAAAATTAGGGGACTTTTTTTTATACTAAAAATTTAATAGGACTAAAATTAATTTACACACCAAAAAAGAGATCCTAGCCTACCTAACTATAAAAAATAACAACATTTGNAGCCTACTTAACTATAAAAAATAACAACATTTTATTCTTATAATACTAATTTAACGTGTGTTGCACTAAAATATATTATTATCGATAGAAGAGATTCAATCGATAGACACTTTTCAGGCGACTGTCTAGGACTAGTTCAAGTGTCTTATTTCAAGATTTCCTTTGATGTATTTAATAGATAATCACACAATACAAGGTACTAATAAATATGATTCCTTTATTAATTCAATGGAAATTGAAGTAATAACTTTGATTTTAGTATTAACTACTTTCTAAAACTAATTTAAAAACTACTCCTAAATTTTTTTCAAATCTTGGGTTTTGTGGAGGTTTAAATTTATCCTTCATATTCTCCATTATATGTCTTTTATAGTTATTGTCCTAGATGATTTTACTTCAATTGATAGTTATCTAGTAACTTCCAGTTAGTTATTTTTAGTTAATAAGAACGGGGCATTTTTTCATTACATTCAAATTTGTCAGATTTCAATATATTAAATATTTTTGTAATTTTATATTTAAGGTCCAAATAACGTTTTAGTCATATTAATTTTATGTTATTCGTGTTAGATACTAATCTAACTTGTTTATTATTCGTGCTTATAGATCATGTTATTTATAAATTCATATGGTGAAATGATCAACCCGCTAATTTCATATTTATTTTTATTTTTATTTTGTGTCNCCAAATAACGTTTTAGTCATATTAATTTTATGTTATTCGTGTTAGATACTAATCTAACTTGTTTATTATTCGTGCTTATAGATCATGTTATTTATAAATTCATATGGCGAAATGATCGACCAGCTAATTTCATATTTATTTTTATTTTTATTTTTATTTTGTGTCAGAAATATTTTCACGCCTAAACTGCCTTCTCTCTCTCTCTCCATTTGGTCCGATCCGGAAGGCAATTGAAGTGTTAGGATTAGCCTCTTGGTTTAAGTTTCTGATTTATTGCCACGATATGGATCAATGTATAAGCCTATAGAAAAGTTTATGGCATTCGATCAAAATAATTTGGGTCGTCGTTGTTCTCAAAATTTGAATTCAAATCTGATTCGATTACTCGGATATGAATTGATATTTTTTATTGATTATTCGTACACGAATTAAATCTGATATTTTATATTTTACGAATTTAGATTTGGACATATATATATTTGATGTGATTATGATCCAATCTGAAATATTTATATATTTTTATATACAAATATTAAAGAAATTAAGTGATTATTTGAAAAAATTTAGTTAAAATTAAGTGTAATTTGTTAAAATTTAAGTTATTCGGATTGGATTGTTAATGGGTTATGATATGAACTACGAAAATAAAAACCCATTGAATTATTAGATCGAATTTGGATTTGGATCGGTCAAAATCCGATTAGTCGAATTTGAAATGAAGAAAATAAAAAAATGGNGTATCACTTATCAGTTGAATTGAACAGTATGGCTTCTGGTCTCTTGTGTTTTTTTTCTTTTCTCGCTGCATGTGGTTTTATTAAGAGTAACAGTTGTGTGCCATGAATGATCCATGTTTGCATCCAATTGCATAAGAAACCTATACTGTTGCTTCTTGCTTTCATTACTCGGAATTTAACTAGCCTTATTGTTCGGCGTTTCAAACTCAAAGACATAAAGGGCAGCGTTTTAGGAATAAGAATGTAACATGGATTGGTGGAGTATGATGATCATAACTTGTGGGGAATTTCTGGATAGGAATCTAGTGAAGGTTGTTCTATGTGAGAGTCCTTGGTCTTTGTGGTGAATAACCCAGTTCAAAGACATTGGTTGGGTGGTCACTACACTATCCAGGGACCTCAAAGGTATCAGAAAATTCCCCTTGGGCACAAGGCCAAAGACCTTTGATTACTTCCTTCGCTTTGCAGACCTTATCAACCCATTCACCTTCAGAAGAACAACTGGAGACCTGATTCTTGCATCAACATGTTTAATAAGGGGAACATTGAAATCTGAAAGCCATTTAAAATCTTACCTGGAGACGTTTTGCACTATTGAGAAAGAAAGGGGTGGGCAGCATTACTCCATAATAGAAATGAAATATGCTTGTGTCATGTAGCAACTTATAAAAGGTTCTTTTGGAACAATAATCTGGATTACATATGAAAGGATGCATTCTTAAACTCCAAATAATGAAATTGAAATTCGAATAAATACTGAAATTCTTCTAGGTATCTTGATTAACCATGACTTGTTGGGTTGTTTGAACGTTCATCTTCAAGTGCAAAGAAATGACCACACATTATGGATGCAACTTTTTTTTGAGAGCTAGGATGACTCATGCCATGCCTTTCTGAGTAAAATGTAACTAATGGGGAAGGAGAGGCAACCAATGACACATACTGAAATTGCAAGGCTTTTTGAATGCATTAACACAGCGTACATGCCTGTAATGAATGCAATTAACATTGCTTCCATGGCAATGATAATGAGACAATAGGCAACAGAATAGTGCTTGACAAGCTTTCCCCTTTTTATGTCGTCTGCCACAATGAAGTACATAAACACTGCGGTTGTGGAGAATGTCATGGCTATAGTATCTGTTATGACAAATAAGTTGAAAGCTGTTTTTCTTGTTAGAATTGCCATACCTTGGTCTGATCCCTCATTGCCATTATAGCCACCTGGCACAGTGAAACAAGCCGCGAAGGTAACAGTAGCAATGAGTGTTGCCACTATTAAATGAATGTCTGCTGTTTTCCTAATGTCTACTGGTAAGACTTTTTCATGGGCATGATGCCTCTTCATCATTATTATCTCTTCATTGTCTCTGCTGATTACATCTCTCCGGCCTAGTGTAGCACCAACTCTGATCAGATCTCTTTTGATGAAACCCTGCATTTTGCTTATTTGGTCAGCAATGGAAAAGCAGAAGTTCTTGATGATAAAGTGGTTATGGTTGTTTTTGCTTTGGCTCATGGTATCCAACTCTGAACATAGTCATCTAGAGGAACTGGTTGGATGCTGACTTCCCTTAAGGCTAGTGAATCAATTTGGAAGGAGAGAGTTGGCTTGTTTTGTGCTGAAAATTAAAAATGTGATGGGAAAGTTTTAAAAGGGCACAGTTAAAGTTTGCAAAATTCATGGCAATTTGAAAGGAGCCATGCTTTCTTTGTGATATTTATGTAAAAACATCTTATATAATAAAGTAGCTTACAATTTAAATCTCAAAAGATAAATAAAATGATTTTTGTTATTCGTAGTTAAGATTGCTTTAAATTTTACATTATAGTTAATCTAACTGCTAATATTAATACCCTAAATTTAATAGGAAAAATAAGTCCTAAGAGTGTGTTTAAAGTGATTTTTTAAAAGTACTTTTAAAAATTATTTCTCAAAAATACTTTAAAAAAAAAAGTGTTTGAAACTGCCCCATCATTATCTCTACCATCACCACCACCATCGCCACCCCTGCCACCACTGTCACCACCGTCGCCGCCTCTACCGCCACCCTACTATTACCGTTGCCGCCACCGTTTCTATCGCCACCACCGCCACCGCCACTACCACCATCGTCGCCACCACGGTCAGTGCCACCTACTACAACCATCATCGTCTTCTACCACCACCACTGCCACCCACCACCTCTCACCCCCGTTACAAAATCGGTACTTAAATTTCTTTATCTCTTCTCTATGTTTGTGATTTAATTTTGGATATGAATACAAATATATTATTGTTTAACATTTTTTATTACTCTGTGCCTGAAGACACAGACAATAATTAGTATATTCTATATGACATATGCAGGCTAAGTAGGCATTCTTACCCATGCTTCTGTATATTTTTCACTATATACTACATCCAAAGGAGTCAAGTTTTCCTTGTTAAATGCCATTTTATCTGCCCAAGGGTGCATTATGAGATGAGGCTCATAGTTGTCAGAAGCAGCAAGTAGATGAAGAGCTGTGTTCCCATCAGCATCTTTTTGATTTAGAAGGCCTCTGAGTGAGAAATTTTGCAAGATAAATTTGATTACCCTTTTCTTCCCATTCTCAACCGCAATGTGAAGAATATTCTGGCCTCTGTTATCTACCATCTCCCAACAATCAGGACAGTGCGATATTAGCTCTTCCATTACATTCAAATGGCCGTGAGCTGCAGCTACGTGAAGAGCTGTCCTTTTGTCATCCTTGTCTGCAAGGTATGTAACTGAATTATCTACATTCAATAGCTGTTTAGCCCTCGATACATAACCAAATCGTGCAGCATAGTGAATTGGTGTCCACCCGTGTATGTCTGCTTCCTTTATAAGATCTGGTTTCCAGTCTAGTAATTTCTCGGTACANCGGCTAAGTGAAGAGCTGTCCTTTTGTCATCCTTGTCTGCAAGGTATGTAACTGATTTATCTGAAAGGATAATTTTTGCTTGTTTTTAGGTGTTTACTGAGTCTAGTTTACTCAGTCNCAGCTACGTGAAGAGCTGTCCTTTTGTCATCCTTGTCTGCAAGGTATGTAACTGATTTATCTACATTCAATAGCTGTTTAGCCCTCGATACATAACCAAATCGTGCAGCATAGTGAATTGGTGTCCACCCATGTATGTCTGCTTCCTTTATAAGATCTGGTTTCCAGTCTAGTAATTTCTCGGTACATCCTGAAAGAGTATCAGATAATTGTGAAAAAGGAAATGAGATACTTGTCAGTGATGAAAACGATTACATTACTGTAATGAAATTTAGTAGAAACGTTTGAACGTGTAGAATTCGCATGACAAAGAAGCGATGTCTCGAGATTTGATGGATTCTGATCCTAGCTTCTTCCANATTAGAAACTTTTGAACGTGTAGAATTCTCATGACAAAGAAGCGATGTCTCGAGATTTGATGGATTCTGATCCTAGCTTCTTCCACAATGACATCATATCTCAATGCCAATGTGATTATGAAATATTTGTACAGAATTCTTGTAAGAATTGGTTCTTCCTTAAACATCACGAGTCTTGTTATTCGGATTTGGAAACACTTGTATAGAATTTCATTTGATTTTGGTATGGAAGCTACTACTTTTTCGTAAGTGAGGTGAGGTATTTCTTTTGGTTGGAATAGGGGTCACCCTTTTGTTGTTTGAGATATCTTAGTTGGTGAATAATCTCTACAACTTTTAACAAAAGCTTGGGATTCAAAGCCTTATTTGGGTTGGATGAATTTGTAACGGTCTATGACAAAGACATCCAGTCGATTGCTCAATCACATATTTATTTGGAAGTACAACACTTAAATTGACAATTGAAACTTTAATCGCCATGAGTACATTTGAGCATAAACATCAAGGACGAAAAGTCTGGATTGGCAAGAAATTGTTGACTACCTTCAAAATTGCCAAGGACTGTAGCGTGGAGAGCTGTTTTACCACCAGGACCACCATAGGCCGGTGATCTACAAGTTTTTAAGATCTCTGACACTAAGCCTATGTACCCCCTCTCCGCAGCCAGGTAAAGAGGCGTCTCCTCGGCATTATTGGCTGGATTTAGAAACTCAGGATCAGCTTGTGTCAACAATTGAGCCACAACATAGTGGTGATTTCGCACAGCCTCATACAAGGCCGTGTCTTTGTCATCGTTTGTCATCCTCAGCATTTCCATGGCCGTTCCGACCCCATTTTCAAGCTCTTCATCCATTGCTTTTGCAAATTCAATGAGTTTTCGGACTATGTCAGAGTGACCTTCCCTTGATGCTATATGAAGGGAAGTCTCACCTTTTGAATTCACTCGACGACACATCGATGGACACATGTTCAAGATCTCTATCACAGATTGTGTGTTTCCAAACAGGGCTGCGATATGGAGGACAGTGTTGTTGTTTGGGGTCACTTGGACTTCAAGTTGGTCTTTGTTTTGCACGAGGACATTGATATTGCCTTCCATGGCAGCTCTGTACAGGCTTGAATCCATAGTGTGGTGAGATTGGCAGGCTTGCACAAGCCTTTGTTTTCCTTCTTTTTTTGGTAGGCAATTAAACCATTGATTAAAGAATGACATTCAATCTTCAAATGATTGTATGCCGGCAAGGGAGGTGACAATTCCTATGAACAAAAATTGTCATATCTCATGTCAATGCATGCATGGTTTATTGAATTATGTGCTCAGTTCCTTTCATCAATTATCAATTAATATTTAATTAAGTCACTTTCTGTTCTTAAAGTTTTTCATTAGTTTCTAAATTGTCTATTTACTAACTTTTACAGAAGAGTTATGTCTTTTAATGATCGTTGTTACGTGTCCTTGCTA